CTCCCTCCCTCCCTCCCTCCCTCCCTTTCTTTCATGTGTGTAAACATGTGAAGGCCAGCATTCGTCTCCAGTCTCTTTCCATCTTGTTTTCTGAGAGAGGGTTGTTCTCTGAGCCAGGAGCTCACCGATTGGGTTAGAATAGCCCGACTGGCCAGTGAGCCCAGTGATCTACTTCTCCTTACCCCACCCCCACCCTGTGCTGGGGCTGTAAGCCTCTAGCACTGTGCCTGGGGGTCCTGGGGATGCAGACTCAGGTCCTCATGCTCCTGCAGGGGCTACTCTGTTGACTGAACCATCTCCCCAGCCCCGAGATTCGAAACTTTCTTTTGGATTAGGACAGAGAGGAAGGCAGGTGTCACTCCTGGCCTGGATCAGCGAGTGGAAGGGAAGTCTCCCCAAGGGCTGCTGGTGGGGAGTTAGGGTGCAGAGGGGAGCTGGCTGGTGTCCAGTTCTCCCTCACCCTGGGGTGATGGAAGATTAATTGTTCTCTGTGTTAATTGCTGGGGCCGCCATGTCTGCAGAGGTTTTAATGAGCTCCAACTGATCTGGGTTTGATTATTTTTCTTTGGAAGGAAAAGACAATATCCTCCCACCCATAAGACAATACTACACTGTTTGGAGCCAGCCCCAGGATGCCTGGCTTACGGTGAAGCTGGTGAGGAGCCCTCTCCCTGAGGCCTGTTGTTCTCCTTTTAACCCGGTTCAGATAAAAGGAAAGTTCTCTATATCTTGCTTGGGTGGGTGGGTGGGTGGGTGGGGGTGGCGGGGTCCAAAGTCTGACATAGTCCTGGTAATCCCCTTTTCAGGTGGGCCGTCCTGTGTTCACAGCGGCGTCACCCCTTCGAGTCTGAATCTCATTCCTTCTGAACCTTGGGCCACAGCTGTGCTCTGTGTCATGGGATTAGAGGGGATTGTGGATACAAAGGTACTTTGTCAATCATGAAAGTATGGGGCATTATCCTGTCACAGCCGAAAGAAGGGTCGGTCATCTGATGGCTAGCTGGAGCTGCCGAGCCTGAGAAAGCTCTCAGTTCAAGGACAGAGTTTTTCCTGGTGGGCTCTCAGGAGGTTCAGATGCCAGACCTGCAGCCATCACTGGCCTCAGATGGACGATGGGGAGTCAGGGGGAGGCAGGATGGAAATCTTGAGTCTCAGCATGTCCTAAAAGTGAATGTCCTATACCACAAAGAAGCTGAGCCTTAGAAAGTGATATGTGGGGAGTTTCACAGGAGTCGTTGATAGAAATGGGGTTCAAACACAGGTCCAGGCCTCCCTGGGCTCTCTCCAGTGTGGGTGGCACTGCCCAGGTGCCATCAGTTCAGAGAAATCCGACTATTGAGCTGGTGCCAGAGGACCCTCCTGAACGTGGGGCTGTCCTTTTTGGCCTCAGTGACTGATCCCTTGGGCGCTGAGCTCCGATGCCTTCCACCTGCTTGTCAGGCCCCCCCCCCCCTTCTTCCTCATAGTACTTAGGCACGCAGAGCCTCTAACTCAGCCCCTCCCCAGCTGGCAGCAGTTGACAAGGCAAATGGGGGTTAATCTGGCCCTGCTAAGCAGGGACATGTCTCTTGCTGGAGAAGGCGGGGGCTTTCTGGAACTTGCCCGAGTCTTATCTGCAGAGGTTTGCCCCAACGCGTCTTAGGAGCAAGCAAAGGTTCAGTGACATGTGCAGTTGGCAGGTGACAGGGCTATCAATCAGACTCCTGTCAGCCTGAGCCTTCTGGGCTTTTGTGACCTAGCCAGGGCCATGAGCTGGGGGGCTGTGGGGGGAGCAGGACTGAAGAGGCAGGAAGGACTTCTGGAGTGGTGGAGGGGATGATGAGAGGAGAGAACATTCCCAGGCATCAGGGATGGGAAAGGCGGACAGGTACTGGCTTTTCTGGTCACCTCAGTTGGAATGTGACTCAAGATCCTATCCTCAGCCTGCCCTGTGGTCACATTCCTAGGGACTTCCATGTCTCGAAGGCTCATGCATGCACAGGGCCTTTGAGTAGGGAGGACAGGGCAGTGATGGGAGACACAGAGCAGGGAAGTAGAGCAGGGAGCTATCTACCTCGGGGTGAGACTCACATGCTAGCAGTGGGGTGGGGTGGGGTGGGCAGAGCTGGCCTGGCTCCTCTAACGGGATGGGGCATGAGAGAACCCTTAGGAGCTGTGCTATGGCCAGGGTTTGCTTCTTCCTGGAGTGAGAAATGAACCTGTAATCCAAGTGTTAAAACTGTGGCCTAGAGCAAAACCCCATTAACTCTGAATCATCTCTTTTGTTGCATTAAGGAAAAAAAAAAAAAAGAAAAGAAGAACTCCCCACAAGCGAGCCCCATGGGGGTGTGCAGGCAGCTGTGTTTGTCTGGAAGGCAGAGGAGTTGGCTCCACTCAGGGGGAGGAGGCGAGGCCCCCACCCCCTCCCAAGGGTATATAAAGAGTCCCAGGCCAGGGTCGACAGCACTGTAGCCTGGTTTCAGCCCAGCTCAGAAGCTCCTGCTGGAGTCTCTCCTGCTTGAAAAGGACAAGAAGGCACAGGCTGCCTGACCATGGCCACCACATTCTTGCAAACTTCCTCCACCTTTGGAGGTGGCTCTACCCGAGGGGGTTCCCTCCGTGCTGGTGGAGGCGGCTTTGGTGGAGGGAGTCTCTACGGGGGAGGCGGGAGCCGAAGCATCTCTGCTTCTTCTGCTAGGTTTGTCTCCTCGGGGGCCGGAGGGGGATATGGCGGTGGTATGAGTTGTGGTTTTGGTGGTGGTGCTGGTGGTGGTTTTGGTGGAGCCTTCAGTGGGGGTTTTGGCGGTGGCTTTGGTGACTTTGGCGGTGGCGATGGAGGTCTCCTCTCTGGCAATGAGAAGATCACCATGCAGAACCTCAATGACCGCCTGGCCTCCTACCTGGACAAAGTGCGTGCCCTGGAGCAGGCTAACACGGAGCTGGAGGTGAAAATCCGAGACTGGTACCAGAAGCAGAGCCCAGCCAGTCCAGAGAGAGACTATAGCCATTACTTTAAGACCATGGAAGAGATCCGGGACAAAGTAAGTCCTTACATGTCAGACAGAGGGAAACAGGCAGCTGGTGCCCCGTACACATCTGTAACATCAGCATTACTGCTGACTAAGAGACTAAGTCCTTTACTGCTGTGTAACCTCAGCAAGGCTGGGATACACTTGCTTTCCAGGCACAGGTGGGAACACCTCTGTTCCACTTGGCAGTGCCGGGGGAGGGAGTGGTCTTGGGAATCTGATTTGGATACATGGGGTTGCAGATGGGGGCAACAAACGAGAACAACTCCTTTTCCCTGCCCTACCAAACTTGCAGGGATTTTTGTAAATGATTGCTTTAACTTTTTGACCTGCGTGCTGTTCAGGCGCAGCCTCCTGAGTCCTAAATGCCAGGACCATTTGCTTCAGCCCTTAAGGATGTCTTTATTGCTGAAATCGTTGTTGGATCTTAGGAGACCAGGGAACTCAATACAGGCTGGGCCACCCCCTCACTTTCCCTTTTACTGACTAGATCTGTTTTCCTTAGCTGTAAACGCTTTCCGTAGCTGCTGTCCAAGTTCCTAATGGCTGCAATGTTTCGGAGACAAAGGGCCCTGTCAAGGCACGCAGGAGGCTGCCACTGTGAGCTGTGCCCAAGTAGGCTGGTTTAGAGTGTCTCTGGAGAGCCCTTACCTGCCAGAGCCGACTGCATCCACTGCAGCACAGCCTTGGCTAGCCATGTCCCACAGGCAATCCCAGGCAATGCTGCCCCCTTAGTTTTCTATGCCTTGAAGGTGTCACAGGAAGGTAGTGTGGGTTAGCACTACGAAAGCGCACAGGGAGTGGAGACGGGGGAGGGGTTGGCAAAGGGGAACTTGGGCATAGGACATTAAAAACAGCAGCCCTTAAGTACAGCTCTCTGTCTCCTGCAGATACTGGCTGCCACCATTGACAACTCACGTGTCATCCTGGAGATTGACAACGCCAGGCTGGCAGCAGATGACTTCAGGCTCAAGTGAGTTCCCATTGCTTCCCCGCTGTCTACAGCACTCCCGCTACCCAGCCTTCCTCCTCTCTGACTCAGAAACCTGGGCCCCTCACCTTCCCTGACTTGGGCTCCTTTCCACTCCCCAGGTATGAGAATGAGCTGGCCCTACGCCAGAGTGTGGAGGCCGACATCAACGGGCTGCGCCGGGTGCTGGATGAGCTGACCCTGGCTAGGACCGACCTGGAGATGCAGATTGAGCACTTGAATGAGGAGCTGGCCTACCTGAAGAAGAATCACGAGGAGGTGACCGCAGGACAGGGTGGGAGGCAGAAGGGCAGGATTGTCTTTCTTTTGTCACAGTCCGCTGAGGGCTTAGTGGTTCAGAAATGCACCCCAGGGGCCCCGTGGATGAGAAGGGACACTATTCTCTGGTAATCTGGACCCAAGGCCAGGTCAGGTGTGAACTGCAGGATTGGTTTGCTTTGTGGGCTTATTATCTCAAGGTCCTTGTTTCATAGGACCCGGAGCAAGAGAGCTCCTCAGAGCTGAGGGGTCCACGTGATCCAATGGGGACCAGAAATAGGGTGGTGTGATGTGCTAAGGTCACGTTGTAAATTAGCGACAGAGTCAGTTAGCCCCAAGACTCCAGATGTCAGGTCTGTTTTATAGCCTTGTCTTAAAATGGTGTCCCCCCCCCCCCCCGGCCCCACTCTCCCCTTTGTAGGAGATGAAGGAGTTCAGCAGTCAGCTGGCTGGCCAGGTCAATGTGGAGATGGACGCAGCACCTGGGGTGGACCTGACCCACGTGCTGGCCGAGATGAGGGAACAATACGAGGCCATTGCAGAGAAAAACCGTCGGGATGCAGAGGCTTGGTTCTTCAGTAAGGTGGGTCTGACTCCCTCAGCTCTGCTCTCCCCCACCTCCCCACTCCACAGGCCTCTGAGGCTCATGCTTCTCATGTGTGACTTGCAGACTGAAGAGCTGAACAAGGAGGTGGCCTCCAACACAGAAATGATCCAGACCAGCAAGACAGAGATCACAGACCTGAGACGCACCATGCAGGGGCTGGAGATCGAGCTGCAGTCCCAGCTCAGCATGGTACGGCCACTCTGGCCCTGCTGGGTGATACATGTACCCATCTTCCATGGCTGGTAAAGCCTCAACCCCCATCCCACACAGTGGTCATTCCGGGCACTCCATCTCATCCTCCCTAACCCTCTGTCTTCAGCGGGTTGCCTTCTAGCCTGATGGGTTTATGGATCTGTTGCCCTACCAGAAAGCTGGGCTGGAGAACTCCCTGGCAGAGGTGGAGTGCCGCTATGCCACACAGCTGCAGCAGATCCAGGGGCTCATCAGCAGCCTGGAGACCCAGCTGAGCGAGCTCCGCTGTGAGATGGAGGCTCAGAACCAGGAGTACAACATGCTGCTGGACATAAAGACTCGGCTGGAGCAGGAGATCACCACTTACCGCAACCTGCTCGAGGGCCAGGATGCTAAGTAGGTGTACAGGTGCAGGGAAAGAAAGGAAGGGGATGTATGGGCTTGTCTGGGACCATCAGGGAAACAGGGTATCCCGAGAGCTGCTTTGTTGAGTGGAATGAGACCTAAGGAGTCTGGAGTCTGTTCTGGTGTTTGGTTGTTATTTTGGGTGTATCACGTCTGCTCCCTGGACCTGTGCTTCTCCTATGAATGATGGATAGGGCACGACTACAGCTCCTGCTCTGTCTATTTGGGATGGCAGACCTGAGGGACTGACCACCAGGATGTCCTAGCCCTTAGAAAAGTCATGTGTGGTGTGGGGGCTGGAGAGGACCGATTCAGTATCCACCAGGGGTTCCCTTCGGGAGACTGGAGCTTTCTTTCTTGGCTAACACCCACTGTCCCGTTTCTTTCAGGATGGCTGGTATTGGTGCCAGGGAAGGTAAGAGAGGGTAAAGCCCTTCGGTGGGGTGGGGAGCAGAGTATTGGAGGCACCATTCCATTTACAGAGGGGAGGAAGGAGGAAGAGACAGATGTCCCAATAAGTCAGGGTACTCCTGCTCCAGAATATACCCGTTTCCCATCGACTCTAGGTGGAATTGAGATTAGAAGTTTCCTGAGAACATTTCAGGCTGAGCAGGCTTTGATCAGGGCTTTCCTTCCTGATCTCACCTTCAAGCTGGTGTGATACTCACTGTAACTCCTGTTCATGCACAGCTTGAAATCCCCTGTATCATTCACTGCTGGGTTACCAGCTCTCATCTCTGACCAGTAGTAGTTCATCAGACCTCCTGGCAGCTCCAGAGGGATTGGCCAGTGGCTCTCCACAGGGATGCTGTCCATCTTCCCAGAGCCTAAGCCTGCTTCCGGAAGTCCCCCATGCTGAAGCTTGCTTTTTGTTTCTGCAGCCTCCCTGGGAGGTGGAGGCAGCAGCGGCAGTGGCAGCAGCAACTTCCACATTAGTGTGGAGGAGTCAGTCGATGGAAAGGTGGTTTCTTCCCGTAAGAGAGAAATCTAAGTGTCTGGTGCAGGAGAAAAGACCCTTGCCACGCCCCCCATGACCCCTGCTCTCCCTGGGCTGAGAGAGGTGCAGGCCAGAGAGGTTGGAAAAGCAGACTCCAGTCCATGCTTTCGGAGAGTGACCTGATGAAGAGAGTCTCTGCTTTCCAGCTCCAGGCTCTGCATGCTCTTCCTGTTGTACCTTTCCCTGCTTCCTTTTGAGCGGAGAGGTGCGTGAAGCAACTGACCTTTGTATGGTTGTCTGTTCCCTCAATAAAGAATCACTTTTCTTTTCACAAATGCCCCTTGGTCATGTGTTCAGTATTTCTTGGTGGCGTCCAGTTCCGAGGAGGTCACCATTCTGACACGTACCTCTCTCTGTTTTGCTTTTTTCTCCTTGTACAATCATACATAATTCTTTTTTTTTTTT